GTTTGCAAAAGTTTTTCCTGCAAAGTGTTTATATATGTAAATATATTTTTTTAAAAAATATTTACGCACCAACCAAACATGCCTTTAGGAATCAAGTAAACTGAACCTAGGCACACTCCTATTCTCATACCTGGAACAATCTCCAAACCATGATCACCCTTAGAGGCCTACCTTAGGAAACCCAAACTGAGCCCTAGGCCCATGCAAGCAACGAAGTCAACCTCAATATTGTTCTAATCCAGTCCAGCCAACTCCAAGGAACGGAAAAAGTTGGCGCATCGACCTCAACTTTGAGCCAAGCCATTGACTCTGGGTGCCAGGCGTGCGGGTCCAACGTCTAAGTAAGTTTGTCTTCGGTTCCTCTTAATTTGTTTCTCTTGCATTGTTTTACATAGATTAGTCTAGGTGTTGTTCTTTTCAAAATCATTTCCAAATCTCCTCTCCTCTTTGCTCTAAACCACCCTTCTCTCATGAAAAATTCCTAACGGTGGAAGTTGCCCTAGTTCTTGTTGATTTGTGGTTATGTGCTTTTTGATGTTTTCTTTTCAAAAATAAAAAAAGAGTTTTTGTTTGTTATTTGTTATTTTCTACTTTGTTGCTTATTTTCAATGCCATAACTCTCTTGAGCCATGGCCTCTTCCGGAATTGCGCTTTGTTTAGGCCCATATCGGCCGAGGCATATCGCACTTACACGAATCATGCTAGTGCTTCACATTCATCTTTCTTTGTGCTTATTCTGCGTGCACTTGCCTGTATTAACACGCCTTTTCATGTGCACGAGCGTGTATTTCCTGAAAGCTAGAAGTTCTATGTCCCCAGAAGCTGGAACTGTTAATATCTAGAAGTTTTGGATCATTTGTTTGATAACCCGTTTGAAAGTTCTTATTTATAAATGTCAGACTTCATAATGATCTAACAAAGCTTCACATAAATTAAGCTTCATGGTCTCTCTCTCACAGACATTTGTATAAATAGGTAGAGAGAGAGTATATGGTCGGAGAGAAAGGACATAGCTAGAGTGAGAAATGAGTTAGAGAGATGAAAGACATATTTAAAGAGAGACAAGAATTAGAGCGACAAAGGTCATACTTAAAAGCGATTGCTTAAAGAGAGATGAGTTAGAGAGAGAAAGGGCAAATTTAGAAAGAGAAACAACAAATTAGAGATGGATAACTTAGAGAAAGAGAAATAAATGACCCAATTAAAGAGCAAGGTGCATTATCAGGGCGGGATAAGTTAGATAGAGAGGGGCGTTATATATAGAGGGTATGATTAGATAGTAAAATGAGTTATCGCTAGAGAGAGGAGGCACAATTAGAGAGACAGAATTCAGAGAGAGAAATGATATAACTGGAGAGATAGCATGGTTAGAGTGGGGTAGAAAGGGTATGGTCAGAGCGGATGAGAGAGAAAAATAGCTCATTTAAAGAGAGAGAGAGGGGTTAGAGAGAGAAAGGGCACAATTGGAGAGAAGCTAAAGATAGGAAGGCATGATTAGAGGGAACTTAGAGAGAGAAAGGGCCTAGTTATAGGGATAAATGAGTGAGAGAAAAAATGACTAATTAAAGAGGGGATGAGTGAGAAAAAAAGTTAAACAAAGACAAAAACTTTAGGCAAAAAGAGAATTTAGAACTTCCTAATATATATTTCCTAATCAAACAAAGAAGTACTGCATTAAACTATAACTTTTAGCTAGCTTTTGGAGTTGGAACTTTCAGTGGTCAAGCAGTCAGTGGCAACATTACTTGTATGTTGGAAAAGGTACAAGTATGTTAGATCCACAAGGTCATTGATATAGGACTAACCACACGGGTCATTGAGATTTTGTCATTAAATTAATTTGTTGTCCCTCTATCGTCGTCCAATTGGGTGGTGACGACCCTTATTCTCATCAGGTGCATGGAGCACATATGCAAAGCATCCCCACAGAATTCCCCGTTTCACTTTGATCATGTTAATAACCTTTTAAAAGACAAAGGTAAATGTTATAATGAGTTGTGATGAGTGTATTTATCAAAAAAATCATTATTTTTTGTTTAAAAAATTATTTTACTATGTAACTTTATCATTAAGTAATAATAAATTTGAAATGTTTTAAAAGATACAATAATATTTTGAAAGTTAGTGTTCTGGATCTTTATATATATAATACTTTTATACTTTAGTAAAACTTTCAATTTTACCTTTTATAAAGATGAGAAAAATATTTCTTGTTTTTAAGTGATATTTACGCTAACTCCCTTACTTGATGAGCAATATATGCAAAAAGTAATGTTTTAAAAAAAGAAAATACATAGTTTGTAAATCCACTCGTCATAACTCATTATAACATTAACCTTTGTAATTTGAAGGGTTGTGAATTGTAGATTATATATAATATGAATATAGTTGCATTTTACTACTATATAACCGTTGCATGAGATCATTGTCTATATATATATATATATATATAACAACTTCTTAAAATACAAAAGGTTAATATTAGAGCGAAAAAAAATTATATAAGTGCGATGCTCTAAACAATCAAATTAGGGCGCACCTCAAAAATTTCACTACAAGAAGTTGTTTTGATGCACAAATATCGTCAAATTGATCATCTCAACTTCAAGATGCATGGACATGAGAAAAAAATTTGATTTCAAGTTTTAAAAATAGTGCATCTTGTAATACATTTTTTGACCGTCAATTTTCAAGATTTCATAGATTGCTTGATTTACACTATTTTTAGGCTTTAAATTTTATAATTATAGATGAAAATATATTTTAAGGCTACCACAAAGATTTTCAGTATTAAACCCATAATTTTCGACACTATTTGAAGGTGTGCTTTACTTTGATTATTTAGAGCCTTGGCCTTATACATGTGCACCCATATTAGAATGGGTCGTGATGAGTGTATTTATAAAAAAATGATTACTTTTAGTTTAAAAATTTATTTTAATAGATAACTTAATAATTAAGTAATGATAAATTTGAAATTTTTATAAAAATGTAATATTGCTTTGAAAATTAGAGTCATGAAATTTTATTTGTAAAATTTTATTTTTATGTAATAAAATAGTATTTTTATCTTTTAATGATATTTATACAAATACCTTTACTTGATTAATAACATAATATAAAGGGAAATGTTTCTATGTTTCCCTTACAACATAAAAGCTCTATCCTCCCCCTACCATCCAGCCGTCCAATTTTGATCAAGAGAGCCACTCATTGATTTTTTTTTTTTAGTTTTTTTTATACAAATTGTATGAATATGAAATTTGCAATGTGTCATCTTCTCATTGGGGCGCACCTATTAAAAATATTAAAAATAATTTTTCTATAAAATATAATGATCAAAATACCTTTGAACCTTTCAAGGGTCATTTTATTTTATTGCAAATATATTTTTTATATTTTTCACTAGTGCGAGTTTAATAGAGGAATGGATGTCCAAAATTTGGTGTCAAAATAATTTATAGAAAAAATATTAAAAATAAAATAGTATAGAGACGTGACATTGTGATTGGGGCGATTTCAGCGCTCCATTCAGAATGGACAGTTGAACAAAGGGGAGGATAAAACTTCTATGCTGCAAATGAAGCACCTATTATAAAAAGTAACATTTTTTTAAAAAAAACTACATAGTTGGTAAATTATAGGGTTATGAATTGTAAATTCACAGCCCTTCCCAATTCATTTTGAAGGATTGTGAATCATAACTTATCTGCCCCCACACACACACACAAAAGAAAATACTTTCTAATGCCTATAGGCAAAAAGGAATAGTGTTTTTGACCTTGCAATAAACCTATTATGTTCGTTGCAGTTTAACATAAAAAATTGATCGCCACATACCTATTATGTCCATTGTGATATCGCCACGAACATAATAGGTCGGTGATAGTGCCAAATCCCCACGGTAAAAAAAGAAAAGATAGTGGCAAGCCCCTAAGTAAAAATAATGTTCATTTTCACCTATAAACATGATCTAGGGCTGTATATGAAAATGGTTTGATAGGGCTGCAACCATATCAAAACAAGTAAATCTTCACCTGATAACTCATCGAAACTTGCAAGTCAAGCATTGGAAAACCCTTACATTGATCATCTCAACTTAAACATTATGGTTGTGAAATTGTTTTAAGATTTCAAGCTCTAAAAATAGTGTATATTGTAACAAATTATTTTGACCATCTATTTTGCTTTAAAAATAAGTGTTCACAGACCCACAAGATCTGTACTATTTTTTGAATTCTAATTTTATTATCGGTGCTGTAAATTGATTTTTGAACCATCATAGAGATTTCCGTTGTCGAAAGTACTTTCTAGATGAGGATTTGAGGTGCGGCTTTATTTTGTTTTCATAAAGCCTAAGCCTTATATAATCACTTCATCTTATGCCTAAAAATCCATAACTTAAGGAATCCGTTAGCCACCTTAGAAACAAATAGGAAGTTCATACAATGAGGCCATTTACTTTTAGGAGGTCAACTACTATTGATATTGATTCTTAGATGTGGAATCGGGTGGTTGAGAATGTGTTATTAACTAAACACATTATTCAAAACAAAATTTCTCAAATGTTGTGACACTCTTTAGTATGCTCAATATTTTATCCAATGTTTAATAATAATTGTGACCTCCTTGTATAAAGAATAAATGATCTCATAAAATACAATCTTGGACATAGTTTTTGTGAGTCTCAGTAGAAACGAGTCACCTTTTAAAAATCTATGTTTAAGATGGATTTTTTGACCTAATTTTTAAAGATATGTACTCTTTTAACATGGAGATCATGAATATGAAAAACTAGTTAATTTTGAAAATTAGAAATAATAATTCGATTAAAAAACATTTGGACCCTTAATTTCAATTGTTTTGTATACCGCAAATGTAGAAATGCGGTCACCGCCGCATGAAACAATTTTCCTACCATCCCAAACATTTAGACAAATAATTAGGGGTATTTTAGTCATTTAGCGCCGAAGTGGTAAAGCACTCAGAGCAGGGTGGCTTTCTGGCCATGGCCTCTGACTCTCCAAAAACTCCTTATTACCAAAATACTAAAATTCTCTCCCTCTCAACACCATCTTCATCTCGTGGCTGATCCATTTTTAGGGTCTCCGTATAAGTTTCTGATCATTCATTTCTATGGTTTATGATGAATTCATTGCTTTGTTTTTTGCTAAGTTTTTCATTTTGTTTTGCTGGTACTCTTTTTCGGAGTTGATCACTAGTGTTCCTGATTGATTCCTTCGGTTGTTACTCAATTTTCTCAAAATTTTAACCAGTATAGATTTTCAGGAGCACTTTCCGGGGCTTTTTGAGGAATTTGTTGGTTCTCTCTTCAATTCCCACCAAATTTAAATCAGTACGGATCTGCAGGGTCGCTCTCTAAGCTTTCTGATTTATTTCGGGGTTTTCTCCATAATTCTCTCCATTCATAACCAGTGAAGCGCTCTCTGGGGTTTTGTGTCACTGGCTTTTCTCTCACTTTTCTCCATTATCCATCTCCAAAACGATTTCTGATCAATTGCTAGCGTTTCCTCCCAAATCCTTTGCGTTATTTTGACCAGTATCAATCCATGTTACCACTCTCTAGCCTTTCTGATCGCTTCCTCCCAAGGCCTCTTCATTATTTACCAGCATCAATCCACAGCACCACTCTCTAAGGTTTCTGAGCAAATTCTAGGGCTTCATCTTGTATCCTCCATTGTCCAACATTGTTTTATCTCGAGAACCAGGGCTTCAGGAACAAATCTGGAGGAATTTGCAAAAACCGGCAGCCCTGGGGGCGAATCAGTCTCATCGTGGCCCCTCGGCAAAGCCGGGCTCTGGTTTTTGGTTCCTTTTTAGACCTAATGCTCAGAAAACCCATTACCTCCAATTTCTCCCTCAAATGGACTTTGTTAGTCGCCATGCCACTTCTTCAACTGATCAACCTTCTTCTAGTGAGGCCTCTTCAGGCCCTGCACCTGCATCTGAAGAGCTCGAGTATCTTGCTAGGTATATGGTGGTGAAGCATTCATGGAGGGGTCGATATAAGCGCATACTGTGTATTTCAAACACTGCAATCATAACGCTTGATCCTTCAACGCTTGTTGTGACGAATTCTTATGATGTGTCGAGTGATTTTGAGGGGGCAGCACCAGTCTTTGGACGTGATGATAACTCACAAGAGTTCTCTATTAGTGTTCGGACAGATGGCCGGGGGAAGTACAAGGCGATCAAGCTCTCTTCGAGGTGAGAGTTTTGGGTGTGGTGTTTGAGTAAGTTGGCGATTTATGTTCATGGTGAATTTTGGGTATTGGTACATCTGAAAAGGGAATAGGTGAATAAGAAAAAGGGGAATTGATTGATTATGTGCTTTTTTTATTTTAGGGAGTTCAAGTGAATTTTTGAAGTTTTTTTAATTTGATAATTGGGTGTTGGTGCTTAACCAAAAATGGGAATTGGTGAGTTTCTGTTCTGTTTTATGTGTGTTTGAGTTATTGGGCATATTTGTTAATAAATGGTTGTTGCTTCTTATCAAAGAAGGGGAATTAGTGACTTTATGTGATTTTGTATGGTGTGTTTGACTTAGTTTGTTATTTGTTTGAGTTATTTGGTTATTTTCTATTGATAATTGGGTATCGGTGCTGATCAAAACAATGGAAATTGTTGAATCAATGTGGTTTTAATGTGATGAAGTTCTGTATATATTTGTCATGGTTGGTTCATTGGTGTAATTGGGTTGATGTGCATTGTTGTCTAATTCTATTGCATCTATTGTCCTTATGATCATCTATTGCCTTTATGAATGATGGAAAAGATTTTATTTACTTATTATAGGAATGGGAAGATAAAACGTAAATGATTGAGTTTTCTCACTATTAGCCTAATGGGCTCTGCACTTGTACGGAACTTCACCAATTGCCCCACAAATTCTGACACAATCCATTTTTTTCCCCATCTAAACTTGGTGCAGGTTTAGAGCAAGTATTTTGACTGAATTACATAGGACAGGGCTGACCAGGAATGTCAGTCAAAACCATAGGAATCCTGCATTAGCTGAATTTTCTGTTCATCACCTGCAACGGAGGACTTCTGAGTGGGTACCTTTTGTAAGTTATTCACATCTTTCATTAGCAATGTGTTGATAATTAAGCTTATTTGGCTTTCTCTGGATAAATTAGATGGTTTTTTATTGTTTTAAGTACTAATTTGTCGCCTGGTTAAAAAAATATTTTTAACTTAATACCAGTTATTATAATTGTTACGATGGGTCATTATCACCACTAGTACACAATTACCAAATTTCCTTCTCTGACGCATTTAAAAACGACTAGTATGTACCAATATTATCAACTTAAACGGCACATGGCCATTATAATGTAAATGATTTTCTGTTGAAGCTTGCTTGCTTGGTTCATCTTGCTTTATATGAGGTCATGAAAATCTTCTATACATGGTAAAGTTTCTCAATGTTCCATGTTCAACACAAATTAGAGAAAAAAAGAAGAAGATTTTTTAACTTTCATACCAGTTATTATAATGGGATTGTCTACAAAAAGACCATTTATCTTTTGTACATGGAGGTCACAATCATTCCCACTCGTTAAACCTGTTTTGAAATTTAAGAACAACTATCTCCAACATGTGTGGACTTGGAATGACTATACCAGTATACCTATGTAACATTATTATAACTTTAACGGTAGATGGCCGTTATAATGTAAATTATTTTCTTTTGAAGCTTGCTTGTGCTCATGAAAATCTTCTATACATGGTAAAGATTCTCAATGTTCCATGTTCAATAAAATAGATGCAACTTAACATTGAATTGTAGTTGCTTGTTGATATGAATTTTTATATTGAAGTCAATAAATGAACAAGTTACTTGAAATATGAAACTGTTGTGTACTATATTTTTTTCCTTATGAAAGGATTGCTTCCCTCTTGCCCTCTGGTTTTTGTTTATGTCGATCTCCCCAATGCTTTAGAAGCAGATTTGGCTGCCTAGGCTGCCAGAGGTCGCCCCTTGGGTGCCTAGTTATCCAACCCAAACCCTTAATTGAACTTAAGCATCAAGTATTTGGGGGAAAAAAAAATATTTTTAAATAATTACACACATACATGAGTTTGAAACTTGAAATCAAATTAGTAAAAGTCTAAAACTTTAGAAGATTGAAACTTGCTGAAAATTCATTGGTAATATTGTTTGGATCAATAAGTGGTTACATAAACATTCTCTCAATAACATGCCAATATTCCATGGTCAGCCCATACTTGCCCATACTCCACAATCCACATCCATCATCATATAAAGAACAGAAGTTCCCAACTCAGTGATTGGGGCGGCCTCCTCCTTATCTTCTTCCCTTACTCTCCTCACCCTCGTCCTCTTGGATTGAGTTTTGGTGGCTTGTCTAGGGCTCAATGCGGTTCCAACAGCCTCAGGTACTTGGCTCCTTGTCAAGCTCTTTCCAGCAAATACTTCTTCATCTCCAACATCTACCAATCACTTACCAAACTCATCCATGTGTTGCACAGAAGTTGGGTCAGTTAGATTGTGCCTCTTGATGGCACTCCTTCCCTGATTTTATTGAACATAAACAAGATTGTTCAGCTTCTGCTGCTCAAGCATGTTTCTGTTCTCTGTATGTACCTGTTGGATAATGCACAAATGCATGATTAGAAGCTGGAAAATGTATGCAACAAGTTAAGGGCTTAGGGCTACCCTATTTGGGCATAGGAGGAGCGATAGGACTTGGAGTACTGCAATACTAGAACAAATGAACAGTGTAATTGTTTAGAAATTACCACACCGAATGTGTTAAAATTGCATGAACAGCCAAAAGAGCTACAAGTCAATTTTAAAATGCATTGGGCCATCTTCTGCAAGTGCCTCGATCTACCCCCATGTGAGCTCCACCATGAAGCTACATTACATGAAAATAAGTTAAGAGTATATAAGCATATTTTGAAGTGAAGTTATAATAAGTACTCAAACAACAAATTCACAATAAAAAAGTAAGGTTTGTACTAACCTTGGTAAGTTTTCATCCTCTGCCTTGCCTCTAGGTTCATGACAAGTGACTTTAATGAGAATCTATACTTATATAGCTCGATTGTCTCTTGGTCTTGGACTTCTGGTTCAGGATCGAGTCTTACATTGCACAAGTTGAGTGCATCCATGATCTAAATCTTAGACTTAATCTACAGATCAATATATAATCTACAGATCCATATAGCAATAAGCAGGGTTGATAATACCCACTACATGCAAGCGCTTTTGGATCTGGGTATTCCATTTGTCTTTCACAATCTTCAAAATCGGACCATAGTTTTCATTGTGTCCAAGGGCTTCTTTACTGCCTTCCTTGGCCACCTCTATTGTATGGTAAATATGGCCCATTGGTAGTTCGTTCTCACTATCCACCAAGCATGGTACCTTCACCGATTGTTCGAAAGCTTTGAGGGTATAAGCAACCCCATCCCATAACTGAGACTACAAATCAATGTTTGCCACTCTCTTCCCCTTGGGATGCTTGGCCCACTCGCTCTTGCTCCTGCTCCATTCTTCAGATATAAACATGCTCCTATGCTTCACTTGTAGGGCCAAAATAGAATACAATAGCAAATGACAAGTAGCAGACCTTGGAACCCTGGGCCTCACCAGGTCCTTTTTTATGAACCTCCTCATGTATAAGCTGTGTACTAAAACTGTGAGGGCTCTTGCTTTCTTCGGTGTTGTTTCTACCGCATTCATCTTGCTTATTCCCTTAAGCATGAGATCAATGCAATGCGCTGCGCGTTGGGTGTCAGAAAGTGATATACCTTTTTAACACCATTAAATAAGCAGCCACCATATTGGCTTTAGCCATATCAGTAAGAACTTGAATCATATATTCCTCTCTCACTTCCACACTAATCTACTAACTTGACAATGAACTCTTTATTTTTTTTGATGAACTTGATAATGAACTCTGCATCATGAATCTTATCAGATGCATCGATTGACCACAAAAACATGTCCCTATTGGCCAATTCACCATAAAGTTCATATTGCTAGTTCTCCCTCTCTTATAGGTCCAAGTGTCAGAGGGTAAGTCATTCTGGTGACCCCAAACTTCCCCATGCATCCCTGTTGACCTCTTTTTTTAGCATAGGCTACTTGAACTCATAAGGTGTAGGGAATTTGAACCCTGGCTGTAAGTGCCCCGCTATTTTCATCATAGCTTGGAAGCTCTTCAAGCAGCTGCATTGAAAGAAACACTTGCTTGATAAAACCAATGGGCTACAAATTTAGAAACGTGATCCTTATCATCCATCGTATAGTAGTTTGCCCTTTTTGCAAGCCACGATCTCAAAGAAAAGAGAAGGAAAGAGGAGGAAGGAAAGGGAGAAAGGGGGGGGAGGGGGGGGGGGGGGGGAGGGAAGAATCTTTAGGCTCCTTTCCTTGAGCCTCCTTCCTCAGCATGATCATCTTTTCTCCTTCTTTCCAAAAGTATCCACCGATGCTACTATATCATCATATTTTCTCTTGAACTTGATCTGTTCTTTCGTCTTGTGGCCTGCTTGTAAATTGTCCAACATGTTTATCCTAGCTTCAGCAGGTCCTTGTGTGCATGGGGCTACATCCCCTCTAATGCTGGCCAAATGTTTTCTTTATTCTATTAAATGCCGGAATTGTAGCTCTTGGGACAAAAATTGCATTCCATCCTATTTTGTTCATTGGGATTGGGACATGACATGACCCATATTTACATCCCAAATTGACTTGTCTATTTGAACCTAGAGAAGACATTACCACCTACTCAGTAAACCTGAAAAATGAACAAAACTACCAAAACCTAATCTTGAAAACATATCCTTTAAGTCTAGAACGCAACAAGTCAAAAGTCAAGTATTGATAAAGCAATGCAATTTTAGAAAATGTTGTCAGGATACGCAAACCAAGTATTGAATAAAGTAACCCAAGCTACAAAAGTTTTAGCAATTTACAACATTCAAGTATTAAGATAGTTACTAATTACTAATTTACAAAACTAAAGTATTTAGTCTAGGATGTAACAAATCAAGCTCAAGTATTGATTCTTTATGTTTACTGAATAAAGTACCCGAACCTTGGTAGAATAAATATGTAGTCGTCTACAAAAATCAAAACTAGAAAAATAACAAAATTAAAATCTAATTACCCAAATATTGAAAAAGGACACTACAACCATACCAAATATTAAGAAGATATCATCAAATAATTAAAAAAAGGCAGTAAAAATGAAAAAATACAAAACCTAATGGCAGTCATAATCAAATGTCAATAAATTTAAGGATAAATATACAATGAGACTATTTACCTTTGGCACAAGGTGGTCACAATTAATATTGACCACTGAACTGACTAAACTCCATGTCGTCTCCTCGCAGAGGTAACATAAGCAATCCCATATAGAGATATATGGCAGAGCTCTTGCTTTGCCTTTTGGAACTTGGAAGTGTACCTCTACATGTGAGGTTAAAGATATACTTTATTGGAGACTCAAATGGTTGATTGGCTGCCTGATAGGGCTGACGATCAACCATTCGGGGAGAGCAAATGATGAACTAGATAAGGTTATTGCCACAGAAACCTCATAAAAAAAAGGGGAGTTTCGAGCGGCTACATTTATTCCATTGACCAAGCTCAAAGTTCAAATGAAATTTTCTCGAAGTTTGTGACACCCAAGCTATCAAATTTCACATTGGATGGTTATAAGTAATTGTGACCTTCTTGTACTGAAGGTAAATGGTGTCATTGTATACAATCCCTAAAATTAAAACTTAACTCAATCCGGAATAGGGAACAAAAAACCAAAGCAAAGACTTCATTAAAGGCACAAAAAAAGAGCGAAAATTGAAATCAAACAAATCAAAACCCAATATCCACAAATATTGCCAAACATAAACTTAAAATTGAAATCGACTAAACCTTTCAAAAACCCAAATGAACTTGGCAAAATTCCATGAGCTTTTGTTGCCAATCACCTCTTTTGACACCACCTCAAGTCTCGAAAACTGTCAGTTTTCTGTACTTCTCAATTTCAAAATTAGTTACCAAATATTTTCCAATCTCGAAAAATCT